AAAGTAATATTCCCATTATTGAAAATTTAGATGTCTATTTAATAAAAAAAAATTTGCGCAGCCTCAAATGATCATTAACCTTTTACTTTCTTCCATTCCTTTTTCCGCACACAGGTCTTTGTTCTCATTTTTATTCACATGTATAGTTCTGTAGACTTTTCAAATTGAAAATATTCATTTCATGCAATAACCATAAGAGTTATTGAGTTTTACTATAAACTACAGAGTTATTGGAGAATACCACAGAGTCACTGCCTCATGAAGCTTACCTTCTAATCATGGGAAACAGGTAAAAACAAATAATAACTTTGAGAAAGTTTTGAAAAAAAGAAGTGAAAGTTACCCACAGTTTTATCTCCTAGGCATAATTATAGTTAATATCTGGTATGTCTCCTAAATTTATTTTAAAAAGCTAATGTTAATGTAACACTTTTTAAAAAAAACAAAAATGAGATTAGATCATAGGTTTTCTTTTTTTACTTTCCAACACGTTGTGGACACTTTAAAATGACAACTAAAACTTTGTGTAATAATGACTGTGTAGTATTATTCTATATGATGGATATACTATTAATTTAAGCATTTCCTAAAGATTGACAAATCGGATATTTATAGTTTTTTTCTGTATTAAAAAACAATTCTGTTTCAGATATTCTTCTACATAAACCTTTGGAGTATCTAAATGTCTCTTTCATTTACGTTCTAAAAGAGAAATTGCTCACTTTAAAAGCATATCCACAATTAAAATTTTGGTATTATTGCTATACTGCCCTGCAAAAAGGCTCAATAGTTGACACTCCAGCCAGCAACATATGAGAGGGTCCTTTTCAGTATTTTCATATATTGAATTTTTTAAAGTTGAGCTATAATTCACATACCTTAATATCCATACTCTTAAAGTGTGCAATTCAGTGGTTTTAGTATATTCACAAGTTTTTGTAAAGATCACCACTGTCTGGTTCCAGACCATTCTCATCACCCCCAAAAGAACCTTATGCCCCTCAGCAGACACTCTGTTTTTTTCTTCCTCAGCCACTGGCAACCACTACCCTACTTTTTGTCTCTATGGATTTGCCTATTTTGGGCATTTTATATAAATGGAATTATTCAATATGTGGTCATTTGTGCCTGGCTTCTTTCACCTAGCATAATTTTTTCAAGGTCTGTGCATTTTGTAGCATGGATGATTTTCTTAGAGTCTATTTTGACTTTGAAGTACCTAAGTGACTCTTAGGGGGATAATTCAGGTTTGTCCTTGGAGCTCTGTTTGGGAACCATTGACCTAGGCTGTAATCTTCCCATTAGTTCTTTTAAATTTTTTTTTTAATGGAGGTACTGGGGATTGAACCCAGGACCTTGTGCATGCTAAGTGCACACACACTCTACCACTGACCTATACCTGGCCCGGTCTGTTGGTTCTTAAATCCTTTACAGCTGACCTGGAGCCTGTTTATCTAGATTCAAATCTTTGTGTCTTTTCCAGGAATATTGTAGATTGATAATTTTGAATCAAAGAATTGTGTTTTACTATTAACAGTATGGTTTATGAGTTAGCATTTTTGCCTGTTTCATCTGTCAGCCTCCCTCAATTTCATCCTTGTGTTCCTAGATGCTCGTCTCTATTTAAATGGTCAGTGTGATGTAAAATGTTTTCGTTAACCGTGGTCCATCATCTGCAGTCTGTTCCTTTTAGGGCCAGTTTCAAAGTGGTAATTTAATGTCCTCCTTGGTAGAAGCTGAAACAAAGACATTATTTAGGCTCTTTACCTTTTCCCCCACTGACCTTGAGACACATGGAAGAAATATTTTTTGTCTTACATTTTTAATCCTCAGCAGATGCCTCTTCCAAGCTCTCAACAAAGGTACCTTAAAAATAAAAACGTTCCTAGTGGATTATTGACTTTCGAGATTATAACTTTATAATTTTTGTTATTAATGTCTGCCTTTTGGGGTACTTCCCCCCTTTTCAACATTGGCCAGTTGTGCTGCATTTCTTGGGTTTCCCTTCTCCCTCTGGGATATCCCAGCTCTGCCACTCCCTAGGAATATTAATTTGACAAATTGCTTTATCTCTGCACCGATTATCTTGTCTGTAAAATGAGGGGTAGACTAGACAACTCTCTAGGGTTCCTGAGAGTAGAGTTGCTGGGACATCTGGTAGGTTTGTATTTACTTTTATAAAGAACTACCTGACTTTTTCCCAAAGTGGTTGTATACGCCATCACATTAATGTTTCTAACCAAGTATAATCATGCTGGTCTTGTGGCCCAGCATTCGTCATCGGCTCCCTGGGATGTCATAAAATGCTCAGCGAGATGAGGGTTAGCTTTTTGGCCACAGGTGTCAGATCCAGGCTCCTCTGCTCCCTGATTGCATGGCCTTGGACACATCACTTAACATCAATAATCTTCCATTATTCCGTGTACAAAATAGGTGTCATCTTACTAAGCTTGCAGGATTGTTGGAAAGATATGACACGTATTCATTGACTGTTAGCTGCTGCTGCTGTTACTGCCTAACGAATGAGTATCTAGTTACCAGCACCTGCCTGGGCTCCCTGTTCAGCTGGTGAAGAGCCTCAGAAGAGAGGCCTGGACATGAGATGTGAGTTGAGGAGAGGGTCCCTCATTGACCCACTGGGAGCTGCCTTGGTGGAATTAGCTCTTCAGTGTGTTATCTTTGAGCCTTTTTAATAAACAAACCTGTGTCTCTTGGCTTTTCAGTGTGTCCACCATTGCATGCTAAGCAAAAACTTGTCCCCTGAGGGCCAAGTGTTCCTGGCACAAAATTAAGTGACATCCCAGGGATGGTAATGTGCTCACAGGATTTAGGCTTTAACTGGGTACCTGTTACTGTATCGTTGGGTTTTTTATTGCCTTGTATTTTCTTTTCTTGTCTTTTTATTGTGGTAGAAAATGTATACTATAAAATTTACCATCTTAACCATTTTCTTATATTTGATTAATTTAAATTTCTTGTAAGTTTATTTAGTACCTCCTTTTCCTAAGCCATCTTAAGTACTGAATCAGCAATGAGGTATTCAAACTCAGTTGTCTTCCTTTTTTTTTTAAGTAGTGAATCCTGCCAGAATGACCAGTTCCCTCTGGATTTAGGCTTGTTTATAAGACGACTTTATTTATGATAAATATCCAAAAGAATCCTCCTTTTCTTTCATCTTTTTCTCCTGGGATTTTCAGTGTTATGTTTGGGAGTATCAGAGTAGGAAAGGGAACTGGAAAAAACAGAAAGGAAATATGCAGCTGAATTTTGCACTCTCTGTTACTCCCAGGGTGGGCCAAGGGTTCTGAGCAGAGATTGGAAACCAGAACACCAGAGGGAAACCACGCCACCTGGCAAGTGTCTGTGCCCTTTAGCACATACCGGGCCTCTTGTTAAGAGAGCAGGCTCACAAATAGAGCTGATCCCAAGGCATCATCCAAAGATGATTGGAACCATCTTCCTGGAAAGCCTACTTGTCCCTCCCAGGCTCTCCTTAAGTTATTTCTTTGTTCCCTGTAACTAGCAACCACATTATTACCAGATTATTGGCAACCTTAGCTTGGTTATGAGATGACAAATGTACTTTGTAACACCAGACCTGAAAGGATGAGATATAACTTCTGCTTCCAAAGGGATGTTTCCTTAAAGGTGTTCATGTTAGGAGGCTGCACTTTTATTTGATGGTACTCAAAACCAGCTTTGAAACATCCTTTTTAGGGTTGCCTTGAACACCTGTGACACTTCCTCTCCAAAGACATCTATCACAGTAAAGTGTCCTCCCTTATGATGGTTGGTTTTTGCAAGTAGCCAGAGGTTACTTGGTGCTGAGTCGGTGATAGCATTAGATGATCATACAGAAGAGCACCATTTTTAGTTAAAAATAAAAGGCATCATTTTTTTAGTGTTATTTTATTTTTATTTATTCATTTATTTATTTTTAACATTTTTTAATTGAGTTATAGTCATTTTACTATGTTGTGTCAAATTCCAGTGTAGAGCACAATTTTTCAGTTATACATGAACATGCATATATTCATTGTCACAGTCTCTTTCGCTGTGAGCCACCACAAGATCCTGTATATATTTCCCTGTGCTACACAGTACAATCTTGTTTATCTGTTCTACATTTTGAAATCCCAGTCTGTCCCTTCCCACCCCCTGTCCCCCTGGCAACCACAAGTTTGTATTCTATGTCTATGAGTCTGTTTCTGTTTTTTGTTTGTTTGTTTGTTTGTTTGTTTGTTTTAGATTCCGCGTATGAGCGATCTCACATGGTATTTTTCTTTCTGTTTCTGGCTTACTTCATTTAAAATGACATTCTCCAGGAACATCCATGTTGCTGCAAATGGTGTTATGTTGTCAGTTTTTATGGCTGAGTAGTATTCCATTGTATAAATATACCACATCTTCTTTATCCAGTCATCTGTTGGTGGACATTAGG